CCCCAGCCCGCCGATCGGGTTTGTGACCCCGCGGGACCCGCACTACGAGGCGCGGGGGCTCCCCAAGCCCGGGCTGCGCAGCTACCTGCCCCTGGCCGACAAACTGCCCGTCACGGTGCTGACGTTCCCCAAGTACATCGAGGCCTTCATCATGCTAGCCTGCCGCGACTCCGCGGGTCACTGGTCGCTCAAGTTCTGGATCGACTACCTCCTGTTCATCCGGCGATACGAGGAAGGGGCGCGCCAGCGGGACCCGTCGCTCGCCGCCGACAACGACAACGCGTTCCCGCTCTGGCGGATGGAGACGATCGACGAGCCCTACCGGGAGTACTATAAGCGACTGGTCTACCACGACCACGACCGCATCACGGACAACGACTGCGGCACCCAGAACCTGCGGTTCATGCACTCGACCTTGAAGGACCTGATGCATCTGCCCAAGGGGGACGGGAAGCTACTGTGGTGCTGCTGGGGGAAGCCGCTCCAGGTCCACCAGCGGCAGCACCGGCCGTCGTGGAAGACGGTCCGGAGTCAGGGCTTCGCCCGCCCGGAGCTGGATCTGCAGAAACTCGGCACCGAGCACCGTTGTGTGCATAAGTTGGTGCTTGCGTCGCCTGGGCCTTCTGATGCTTCTGGGCCTCCAGGAGCTCCTTGGCGCCTTGAGGCTCCTGAGTCTCCGGCGCTTTCTGGGCCGCATGCAAGTAGTTCTGTTTATTCTGATTAGTGTTCGATACCCCCTGTTCTAGATTCTTGGCGCTGGAGGCTATTGACTCCGCTGCAGATAGTTAAACATTCTGTATCATAGAAATGCTGATCTTCTTTCCTTTTCACTAGTGTATAAATCTGGTTTGTTGTGGCGGTACATGTTGTACGTAAACGAACTTCTCAACTTGGGTGCGGATCTATGCTGAGGCTGTATGAAGTACCATCTTGAAGCTGTAGACATGGTGCGGATACTGTATCGTGATGCGGCAGGAATTCGAAACATGTTGCGTTCCTTTTCTGAGTGAGATTGCGCGATTCTAGTACAATAACAAACATTGTACTATTTATGTGATTTAACTGATAGTTGGTTGACGATCCTCGGCAGAGAGTACCTACTGAAAGCCAAGAACAACCTAAAAGATCCTTCGAAGCTCTGCTACTGCTTGAGGAGAAAGGACAAGAATGGCATTATATTCCGTGTTCTGGTGGCAGTACCCACGCGGGAGGATAGGCGGTAAACCGACGATCATGTGATACGGCAGATCTCTTTTTCTGCTGCCCAAACAGGCTCATCAATCGATCCCTGAAAGAAGAAGAAAAATCAAGGCAAACTTCTCTTCCAGGTGGTGTGACTACATACAAACTTGACCACCCTCCGCAAAGTCCCGCTCTCATTCTCGTGTTCTATGGTGTACTTTGTAGTCAGGATACTGCCGAATATCGGCATCGGAAGGCAGTGGATCCGGTGGCTTGCTCCACATGATCTCAGTACCTTAGCTAATCACAATCACATGCCCCGGTGACGAAGCAGCAAAGAAATTACGAGAGTCACTGCAGGTGAGCGAAGGGAAAAAAAAGAAACGTGAATTCACCTCCTCACCGGGAAGACTCTTCATCCGACCGATCGCGATCAGGAAGAATGTGACCGAGAACTTCCCCTTTTGTCTTGTCTTAACTGATCTCTCCCCATCATCATGTTGTGTTCCTTTCCTAGTTCTTTGTTAGCGACCTCAACATCTCGGATCGCCCTCTAACGCGCTGTGATCGTGGCTGTGGAGGTGTTGCTGTCTACCCCGCCGGAGCGACAAGACAACCTGGAATAAGGCGACAACCACACCCCCTTTCCAGCTGTGACCTGCGTGTCACCGATCTACTAAATTCAAATTCGCTCAATTCTACATTGATCACCTTTTTCTCCTTCAAACTCTCCCTTCCTTGTCTTGTCCAACTTTCAGTTCGACAATCACTTGTTATTTTCCTTCTCCCGACGGCTGCCTTATACTGACGCCATGGGGAAACCCCCCGCCGCCATCATCATTGCTAGGTAAGGCTTTATGTTCCTCATTCTTGTAAGTATTAGATCGCATTCTTACGCTCACTGCCCCAATAGACATGGCGCTCGCCTGGACGCTGCCGACAAGAATTGGCACTTGACATCTCCCACTCCTTACGACCCTCCCCTCTCCTATGGCGGCTGGCTACAGTCCCGCGCTCTCGGTGCTAGAATTGTCGATCTCCTACAGTCCCTAGACGATGAGATAGACGTCTCAACACAGAGCGAGGCTGCACGGAAACAATTCCTCGACCGCGTGAAGACTCCACCCCGCAAGCGCCGGGTCATCATCCATACCTCTCCATTCCTTCGTTGCCTTCAGACAGGAATCGCAGTCAGCTCAGGAATTTGTCAAAACTCTCCTGAACCGGACGACTACCACCGGCCGTATGGCTCGCTTGCAGGACAGCTTCACAATGCGACCCCCGGATCCCTAAAGAACTTGACTTTGGACACCCCTCCGAGCTCGAGCCCCAGGTCTAGCCTGGACAACACGCGATGCCTTTTGCGTGTTGACGCTTTTCTCGGAGAATGGCTCAGTCCTGACTATTTCGAACAAATCGTGCCTCCTCCCTCCTCCGACCGACTGATCGCCGCCGCCAAGATTGAGCTCTTAAGACGTGAGCAGCATTTTGTCCCGGCGGCAGACATAACGTCCCGACCATCGGTTGGCTACTTCCCGGGTGGTTGGGGAAGTGTTTCAACTCCAGTGTCTCCTGCCCCCGACCTCAACGCGCCCAATGAGCCTGAATATACATCCACAACAAATTCAGCGCCAGGGCACAGAACTCGTGCGGGTAGCTGTGACGCTTTGGGCGCTGGTGACGCCTCTCGCAGCAAGAGACTACTGAACAAAATCAACACCAATCTATCGCCCATTCCCGACAGCGCATATGTGCCTCCGACTCCAAGCTATGCCATTTCTCCTTCCAATCCAATACCTGCTGGATATGTGACTCATGCCCGTGATGCCTGCGTCAATGTCGACTACCAATGGGACAGCATGCGTGGTGACCAAAATTGGGGGAATGGAGGCGAGTACGGGGAGGAATGGAGCTCAATGCATGCAAGATTCCGCAATGGGATGGAACGCATGGTTAGCTGGTACGACGAACATGATTTCACAGGGTCTGCCCGCCAAGGTCAGCGCCATTCGCAGATGTTGAACGGAACCGGCGACATCAATAAAGTCGACGATACTGACGACGAAACCGAGACCGTTCTGGTTGTAATTACACATGGAGCTGGCTGCAATGCACTCATTGGGGCAATATCCGGGGAGCCGGCACTTGTCGATATTGGCACGGCCTCTCTCACCCTGGCAGTGCGGTACCCCGACCTGCACGAGTCAACTGGAACCGCATCAACTGTTTCGGTTGGGTCCCTAGGCTCGGAGCAATCTTTCGACGAGCCGATCAATTTGCAGAGTTATCGGTTGAAAAAGGTAGCATCTACCGAGCATTTACGGAATGGAGTTAATAACCCCGCTGTTTCGTCACCCGCGAACCTCGCATCACCAGGCATCCCCACTTATCGCCAGCGTGCTGCCCCGCGAAAGTCGATGTCGCAGGGAATGTTCATCATCGGCCCCTCCTCTACATCTGGCATGGGATCCCAGTCGTGGAAGGCAGCACGGCCCTCGACAGCTGTTACCTCCAGTGGCTCAACGGGGCTTTGGGGGTCCGTCTCCGCCTCAGCTGAGCCAGCAGATGACATTGTGCCCAACTTTGGCGATTGGACCACGCCGGCTTCTACACCGTCTACGAATGAAATCATTCACGATGTGGATAAGCCGGCCGCCACTGGGCAAACCTGGACCAGTCAACTGCCGCAGCGAACCATGTCGCAGCGTGGTCTGTGGGGCAGCGAACCTCTGCAAAAGGATCGAGAAGCGGGCACCAAACGGCGTTGGACCGTGACGGAACGACGAAGGCTGTGATTTAGCATGTGATACTGCACATTAGCTTCTTGGCGTTGGATGGATTGTCCGTGGACGTCACTCACGAATTTACGAACTACCGAGGAGGGGATCTACGAGATTTACTAGGCCTAGTCATCTTGCTCAGAATCTCGGCTAACATGGGATGTATGTACTAACTAATGGTTTTGAAAAACACAATATACCCAATCAATCTAACCGCACATATTCTCCACTTCAATCATGACTCCTGCCGCAATTTTCGAATCGTAGCATAGTCTGTGTTCACAACCTCCTCTCAGCTCTGACACCCGGTTGCACCGCCTAGGCCCCAGCCATCCATCCCTGCTCTCAACCAGCGCAATCGACAGGAGGATTGACACGTAGTGCACCCACCATTAAGCAAAAAACAACGATGATCGCGGGGGTTCCCATCCAAGCCAAGAAAAAATTACAGTCCCTCCTTCTGCACCCTCACCCAGCCTTAACTGCATCCAGGCTAGCGAAGAAGATTGGTAAGACGCCGGAGAGATTTCCATCCTTCCTTCCTTCCCGCCCCGCACATCGCTCGGAGACATGAGTAATCATCTTATCTGGTCCTGCGGAAAAAGTTCGGCCAACCCGAGATCAATTTTTCTTGGTACTAATCTAAAACTTTGTGCTGTACAGAGTACTCATCAATGGACAGGACGCCCGCTGAAAAGATTTCCCGGGTGCGGCTCCTGGTGGCACGGCCGATTTCCGGAGGATTGATTGATGTGATGCAAGAGAGATTTTTTTTTGCGGCTGGTGGAGTTTGGCAGGGCTGGTTTGGGCTTAGCTTCCGCTGCGGGTTCCTTCCATGTTTCTTCACAAGTATGAATGGCTTCAACTACAAAGAAGGGACAAGGTCTTTGTTTGAGTGCTCTTTCATTGCATTGTGTTGAATGAAGTTTGGTGATGATTGCCTCAGCAATTGCAGGACGAAAGGAGACTGAGAATGTTGTTCATGCTTTTTTACTGTGAGATCGGATTCCGCAGATGGATAGAATATAAGGAGACATCATGACACCAATCTACTTGGTCATCATGCTCGTCACTATAGGGAAACTGACCTCTCCCGGCCGATTCGCATATTTCTTATACCCAAGATGTCAGACTCGTTATGTGGACTCAAGTACTCACTCAGGTTCTGCAGAGGGTGTCTCGCAAGGGAAGGTCGGTCCAGGACGGAGAGTTTCTCTCCAGACTGACCTCTGGGAAGTGGTAACAAACTTCCTGGAGAAGAACGACCTGATCGTCTTCTCTGAGTCGCATCGCGGTGTCTACAGCGCTGTGAGCCACGAGCGCTGTTCTGCTTGTCAGGATCAGCTCCTGACTCCGCAGGAGGTATATGACAATCACGCAGCGGCCGCCGCTGATGAAAACGCCAGACTCATGGTCTTCAATTTGGAAGCTGTGGAGAATGCTGCCGAGGCAGTTGAGCGTGGCGCGGTGAGTGAGAATCAGGTAGATGACTATGCTGACAAACTGGCCTATGCGGTGACCTTAAGTGGATTGTCAATCCTATCACTGGCGGTTCTTCGGGGAAGAAAGGACGTGGTGAATCTTCTTCTGAAGCATCGCGCGGACCCTACTTACGGAGGCGAAAATGCTCACTTGACGTCTTTGGACTATATCAGATCCCCTTTCCACCGAACTGACTCAGCAGGAGACCCAGTGGTGATCAAGGCCGCGGTGGCAATGGTGGAAACACTGCTCACCCACGGAGCGACCTTCACTCAGAAGGGGCCCTGGGATATCATTCTATGGACTCGACGCGTAGACCTCATTTGCCAGGCGGTCCGGAATGGGGTGGATCTTCTCAGTCTGCGCTGGGAGAGCCAGGGTGTAAGTCTGAACCCGCTGAGCGCTATCCTCCATCACCCGGCCCTGCCCGAAGACAAGGTCCGCGACGAGGTCCTGCGGGCGATTCTGGAGGCTGCGCCCCGGCTGATGGATATCACCGACAACGAGGGGCGTACCATCATACACCAAGCCGTGCAAGCCTACTGGTGGAATCTGGCGCAAGCCCTGCTCCGGTTCCCATCCACGGCATGGCCCATCGCCAACGACGGGCAGAACGCGCTGACCACCGCCATCGCCCACGGTAAGACAAAACTGATCGCGGGTCTGTTGGACCGCCCCGAGTACGAGATCGACTTCCTGCACGACGTCGACTCCATGCTCTTGTGGCGTCATGTCAACAGGCCCACTCAGGAGTCCTTTCCGCTGATGGTGGCCGTCGCAAAGGCGGCCGAGTTCCCCAGAGCCCTGTTTACGCTGGCCACTCACCCACGCATGTGCATCCCCGCGAAAATGCCGGATTGCCTCGATGTCCGACATCAGGCGCTGGAGCTGGGGATGGAGGTAGGCCTCAGTCCGCGCCATGTCGCGCTGATCAAAGCCATCCCCGAGCGGTGGGATTATGACGAGGGCCAAACTTACACTAGGGTTGAGTAAACACATCCACTACATTTCGTCTAATCAAAGTTTTCCCTCGACGAACACAGAGACAGTACAAAACGCGCTTAATCAGATGCCCCCAATCAAATCAACAAACCTGTAATCATAGCATCCATCTACTCCATCACCCATCCATCCGCGTCAGATAGAAATGCAAAACCCCGGAATCCCGATAATAAGGCTTATACTCATTGGTCGCCGCCACGGTCCTCTCATTCACATATCGAAACCGATCTACCTTGTCCTCGCCGTCGGGGATGACCGCGCAGGCGCCGATACCGTGGAACTTGATTTGCCGGACCTTTTTTTCCGCAGTGCATCAGGTCTCGCCTCAGATTTATTGAGTAGGGATATCTCACCTTCTCTGTCTCCTTTAAAGAAAAGAGTGTCCGGACGAGCGGCAGCCCGTCCGCCGCGATGGCCTGGGCCGGATGTCCCGTGTCGAGTAGGTGGATGCTCCATTCACCATCCAGAAATTTGGGGGACACCGGGCTGAGTCTGTCGTAGATGGTTTCGAGCTCGGTGCGGTCGAGTTGACCTGGTGTTTGGGTGAGGGCGAGGTATTCTTCTGTTGGGTTTTGGGTGCTATGGTTGTTAGTTCAATTGTAGGGGGTGGGTTTTAGGATGGCGTACGTTTTCATCCTGATGGTTCGTTGTGGGATGATTTTCGCAGGTATACGGGTAGAGGTACAGAGTCAAGATGGTGTAAACTTTCGGGCCTTGTGGTAGGCCTGTGCATCCCTTTCGCGACTTCATACACTCGGATCCAACGCGGAGGTGTGATACTTGGTTGGTTTCTGGCGTCTTCCTTGTTGTATGGTGTATGCTGTCATTCGATGCATGGGGAGAGGGATTTGGGAGGGATCCGCGGTATGTGTGCCATCTCGATTGGGGTGTCTGCAGATGGTTCAGTTGCTCGATGTTCAGCCATCGACTAGGTACTTTCAAGGAAGATTTCGAGCTAGTTATAGTTCGTTGCTAAAGTCTAGGGTTCGTTCTTTTCCCCTTTCGCGCGTTGAATGGCCCCAGTACATCCATTTCAGGAGAATCAATGGCTTGTTTTGCTATACTGTATTGTGTTGTATAGTAACACTACAATATCTTGCGCATGAAACGATGCAGATTCCCAGACACAGCGAGAGTGATCATTTGGGTCTGCAATGTCCGCCTCCGGATCCGTGATCATGTAGGATAGCATTCTTGTTGTTTGACGTCACCGTATTGATGCAGACTGCTTGATTCTATCGCCCTTCTGAAACTCTTTCGCAAACTCAGTAGCACAGAAGTTTCCAGCCTCGATCCGATCGTACAATCCATGTCTTACTCTTTGCGCTGTTGATACCGCCCCTGGGAGGTATAGAGTCGGGTTTCTCGCCATTGGAGTTCGTTCGTATGAAGAGATTTTCGGATAGATTTGCCCCTTTCAAGCTCAGTGTCCTGCCATCCTGACCCTGCGACCCCTGCGACAACGGACTCACGGCAGATCGCTTGCTGCTCGATCGTCCCTTGCATCTCGAAATGTCGAACCCACCCAGTGAGGTTGGCAATTTCGGTAGCAGTCAATTTGTGGCGAGAACACCGTGTCTGGGATTGCTGCTAGGGGATCCAGATGGATCACTCGCTTGCAATCAGTCAAGGCTCTGAGATTGATTAGGTGCTTGGGGAATTCTTCCGTTAGGTGTTGCAGATGGTTTGTTCTCTTGTCTTTGGTTCATAAAATATACCTTACGTATTAGTATATCCTCTCCCTGGAGTATCGTAGTACGTCTGCATCTTGACGATTGAGTTCTTGATGAGTGTGCAAACAGACGAGAGTACTAAAGGCTAGTTTACTTGCCGTAGGATGCATTTAAAATATTACAGATCCCTGTTTGCTTGAAACATCCTTGCCTTGTGTCTTAGTTATCGGGTAGTTATCAGGCAGCTCAGCTTATCGGTCTTTGAGAGGCTGGGAACGTGATGGCGGCTGCGGTGCCTGTCAATTAACCTACGGTGGTGATTGCTCCGGCTGCCAACTGTCAAGAAAATTCAATACAGCTTCAATTGAGGAAGCTCTGACCATAAGCTCGTGCAAGGGCCAGAAGGGGACTCAACCTGACTGTGAGCGTAGTAGCCTGAGGTGTCGACCAGGTACGTAAGTGCGGAGACAGGCTGCGGTTCAGGGCAGTTTCCCTGTCCTCAATTCCTCCAGCCACTGGATTTTACTATTTTTGTCCGCGCGGGCAAGCAAGCTAAGAGGATGAATTTAAATACGCCGCCCACCAAGGCGGGCCTCGATCTCTTGTCCCTACTTGTATGCTCCAGCCTTCCATTCTCAATACAATTGATTCCCTCTCCTTCCTCCCTCCATCCATCACTATTCCTGGCATTGTTACTGTTTCTCTCCTCCTCTTCCTATATCTCCTGCAGTGAGTGCAGCAAACTCCAAGCATGTCTGCTGCTCCGCGCCGCAATGGCCAGCCACCACCGCCATGCGAGCCATGCCGCAAATCCAAGATGCGCTGCGATAATGTAATCCCCGCCTGTCAGAACTGCATCCGTCGAGGCAAGGCCGAGAACTGTGTGTATCCCGCCCCTCCCGCCACGCGCACCTGGTACTCGGACAATGCTCCGTCGCCGACCGCGTCTCCGCGCTCGCAGGGCCGCCCGGACTCCTTCACCCAGGGTGGCCGGTCCACCCCGAACGGGGACGAGAAAATAGCCGCCATGGGTCTCCCCACCACCGCCACGACCGCCAACAACAACAATAACTCAGCCATGTTCAGTGAGATGGAGGACCAGTTCCGGGGGTTCATGTACCTCGATGCTTCCTCCGCGGGTCGGCCCGAGCCTACCACCATGCCGGATCCGAGGCAGGTCCAGATGGGCGCCCGACTGCTCACCTTGCTGTTCGAGAACCTGCCCCTGTACGAGCGCTTGGCGGAGACCTCGCTGGACGTATGGCCCGAAGGGTGCATCCTGGGCCACCGGCTCATCACGGGGATGTTCGAGGCCCTCGAGGATATCCTGGAGGCCTTGACGTCCGACCCCAGCTACGTCAAGGATCGCCATTCGACGATGCTGCGGTGGGCGCAGAAGATCTTCGACGACAGCGCCAAGCCCCTGACGGTGCATGCGGCCACGACCCCGGAGGACTACATCCGGCGGATCTCCTCCCGGTGGGAGGGCATTGGGCTGGTGTACTCGATCGTCGGACAGGGCGCCATGCTGGAGCGCGATTGGCGGTCCATCCGCGAGCGCGAACGCAATGTGCCCCGTGATCAGAAGTTGTTGGCGGCCCAGGCGGTCTCGGCGAGTGACGCCTGTCTGCAGTTCTGTGATACCTTTGGCGCGGTGGATGATTCGCTTGGCTGGTTGTTGTTCCAGCACCTTCATCTCTTGACCTTGGTTTATGGTGAAAACGGTATGTTTGATGAGTTGTTCTTGGTGCGGGGATCGAGTCGTAGGCTAACGACTGACAGATCCTCGAGCGTGGAGAAAGCTGGCCGAGCTTGCGACAGTGGCTTTCACTCTCGGCTCCAATCAATCAGAGAAGGACACGAGGACTCCTTTCTTCGTGGTCGAGCTTCGCAAACGTCTGGTCGCGGGCGCATACAGCATCGACAAACAGCTGGCCACCTCCTTGGGCAGACCTCCCCAGATCAGCTGGCGCTACTATGACGTCCAGTTCCCGCTCGACCTGAGCTATGATGAGATTCTGGCCGAGCCGAAGATCCGCGAGGCCGCCATCAGCAAGCTGGACAAGACGGGCTGGAATACCCAGGGAGTCGTGGGGAAGTCCGCGTGGCTTCGGATTGCGCTGCTCATTGGCTCGACGAGGGAGCAGATTCTGGAATTGTCGCTCAGTCGTCGTATTGACGATTTGTCTCGCAAGGTTCAGTAAGTGCATTGTCACAGCCTCTACTGAAGACATATCGCTTACGTTGCATGCTTTAGGGAGGTGTCTCAGCAATCGCACAAAACCTGGAACGAGCTGCCCAGCTTCCTTCGCTGGCGGCCTGGCTCTCCCGACCCGAACGGTTCGAGCAGTGTTCTTCTGCCCCTGTATTTGAACTTTCTCTACAATGACTTCCTCCTTTACCGGGTTTTGGTGAAGCGGACTCAGAGCGGTGGGGAGGGCTTGATCAGTGTGTCGCAAAACATACTGAGCACCATACTCGAGCTCATCGGCAAGGAAATTGGGTCTAGGGCTGGCACCTATAATGTCGGATGGAATGTGAGCATTGCCAATTTCTTTAGTGCTACGAATCTGTACTGACAGCTTACAGGCATCGTCCTTTGGTCTTCCTGCAGCCGGGGTCTTAGCTATCGAGCTCCTCCGTCAATCCGAAGCCCAATCTCAGGTCCAAGCCACCCCGTTCCGCCGATCGGAGGTTATCCAGAAACTCACTGTCTTCGCCTCTCATCTCCAATACGTCGTCCGCCCGCACGATGGCATGTACGATGTCTGCCAGCGTGCACGAAAGGTCATCTCCAACATTCTAGATCGGGTCCTGACGGTCAACGCATCCCCGATGCCTGCCACCTTGCCCGCCGATGTTCTGGCAACCAACTGGCTCAATGGCGAGAATGTGACCCTTGACGACGGCACGGACTTGTACCGGTGGATAGAGAATCTCTACCCAGATACGGCTGCATCCACGGCTTCCTGGGCTTGAGCCCGACACAGCCTCATGATCTGGAAATGATTAATGAAATAAGCCGATGACTGTGGGCAGATGCAGATCCAAATGTGTCTGTCACCCCCCAACCTACCATGTTATGACTATATACCCCTTCTATGTGACCCGGGAAAAGCAACAGTGTGCAGATTTCCTTGTGATGAGTATGGAAGACGAGGTGCACTTCGCTTGTTCCATAATGCTGTATTTCAGTTTGCCACCTATTCTTTCCTTTCGGTTCTGTGGGATTCTTTTTGCTTCTTGCAAGCTGCTTCTGCGGTGAAAAGGTTGCTAGAATTGTACTTGGGCAACAATGATTATTTATGTCATGTAGCGTGTCATTGCAATCGGCGGAATACACGTCAGCGCATGCAGTCAATTGCATCCAGCTGAAGCGGGATGGTTCCCATTTAGAGTTCTTATTGAGCTGCAACGCGACGTAGGATCTGACAGGGCTCATTCTGGCCGATGACTCTGTCGTTGAGGACAGATACTCCGGAACTCCGTCAAAAACTCGTGTAGAAGGGAGCTCACTAATTATTGAGACCCGACGCCCTTGCGTATCCGCTATCTTTAGAAGCACTAGTGTGGTTGATCGATAGGCGATAAGTTATCGGGCTATTGACGGGCTGATAAGGCAAGGCGGGCATGTGATCACTTCAAGGATGGGAAGGGAATGTGGGGCGGTGTTTACCGATAGAACCAGGACATCATCACCTCATCACATGGAGTGGTAGCAGAATGTGGCGGATACTACGACTCTGTTTGGATGCTGTCGACTCTGCGCCAGACTTTATAAATGCGATGACTCAATTGCAGGTTGTGAGGACAGCCGGATCCTCGGATCCAGCATTCAGAGAGCCCTGCCAGGTGAGAAATGGCTCCGCTGTCTTTCTTTCTGTCTTTCCGCCACCGCGGCGTCGATCCCGTGTGCCCAATCGTGGTGGAGTGATTGGCCGGCGACCTCCGCATTTTCCGGGTGCCTGCATGGCTGCCTTGATGCCTGGCGCGGTGCCAGACCCAGCGTAACTGCGTCACTGGGTCCCATTCCACCCCCCATTCCTTGTCCTTGTACGGAGTACTTGTACACAGTCTCTCTCCCCTTTATCTTCTACTCCCTCCTCTCTCCCTCTTTCTCTTTTACTCTTCACTCAGTGCTTGGACTTGTGAAATCTCCTCTCTTGTCTGTCTCTACCTCTGTTTGTACATATACATACACACACACAATCAAGGCATGTCAGCTGTCGCAAACGACGGGTTCTCCGTCATCCATACTAGTGGCCGAACAGGCCCGCCGGATCTGCGATTGATTCACTACAATGATGTCTACCACGTAGAGTAAGTTCGCGTCACACATTGGGAGAGGGTCAGATATTCTTTCACAGAGACTACGTCGCTAACCATTTGACTATCGCCATAGACCAGGTTCCTCAGAGCCCGTAGGAGGCGTCCCGCGCTTCCAGTCTGTCGCTAACTACTATCGCTCCGATCCCGCCTTTGCCGGCCAACCTGGCGTGCTTACCTTTTTCTCCGGCGATGCCTACAACCCGAGTCTGGAGAGTTCGGTCACGAAGGGCAAGCATATGGTGCCATTTCTGAATAAGATTGGGACGGATGTTGCCTGTGTTGGGGTATGTTTACTTTCCTGGTTGTTGTTTCAAGGTGGGCTGGGCAAGCTGGGATAGTGGTGGAATACGAGAGCTCAGTCAGGCCATTTGATGCGGAATACGACATAAGCTGACCAACTCACCTGCCGGGTTTAGAACCACGATCTCGATTTTGGAGTAACGCAATTCCGCCATCTACGCACACAATGCCAGTTTCCCTGGTTGTTAGCCAATGTTATCGATCCGGCGCTAGGGGAGGATGTCCCCATCGCTGACTGCGAGAAGACCGTGATGCTGACCGCATCGAATGGGATCAAAGTCGGGGTGATTGGGCTTGGGGAGAGGGAATGGTAAGTTTGCATCCGCGCTGATACATGTGCTTACACCGCTACTTGAGAGGTCATATTTGCTAACCATGTTGCATGTTCGCTGATTTAGGTTGGGAACGATTAATGCCCTCCCACCGGATCTTATTTACAAGTCGGCGTCCAAGACGGCGCTGGAGCTTGCGCCCCGGCTGCGCGAGCAAGGGGCGGATATCGTCGTCGCGGTCACCCATCAACGCGAACCGAATGATTATAAGCTGGCTGAGAATCTGACACCGGGGCTGGTGGATATTATACTGGGGGGTCACGATCACTTCTATGCGCATGCTGTGGTCAATGGGGTGCATATTCTCCGGTCGGGTACCGATTTTAAGCAGTTGAGCTATCTGGAAGCTTGGCGCAAGGCAGACGGCGCGGGATGGGACTTCGATATCGTGCGCAGGGACTTGGTCCGATCCATCCCGGAGGATCCGTCCGCCAGGGCCATGGTCGGCCGGTTGACGTCGAGCTTGAAGGCCAAGTTGGAGAAGCCCATCGGATACACTACGCGGCCGCTGGACGGTCGATTCTCGACCGTGCGTCAACGAGAGTCGAATCTGGGTAATTTCGCCTGCGATCTCATGCGGTTTTACTACGGTGCGGACTGCGCGATGATGGCTGGTGGGACTATTCGGGGCGATCAGATCTACCAGCCCGGAGTGTTGAAGGTGAAGGATATTCTTAACTGCTTCCCCTTCGAGGACCCTGTGGTTCTCCTCCGCATCAAAGGCCAGGCGCTCTTTGATGCCTTGGAGAATGGAGTCAGTCAGCTTCCCGCGTTGGAGGGGCGGTTCCCGCAGGTTTCGAACATCTCATTCAGCTACAATCCATCTTCGCCGCCCGGCTCGCGCATCAACTGGGCCAAGATCGGTGGGCAGCCCATCGATTTTGGCCAAAGCTACCTGCTCGCCACCCGTGGCTATATGGGTCGTGGCAAAGACGGATTTGCGTCACTACTCGTGCAGTCAGAGGGTGGCGAAGTAGAAGAGGTGGTTGACGAGGAAAGCGGCATCCTCATCAGCACCCTGCTCCGTCAGTACTTCCTTAGTCTGAAAGTCCTGGGGAAGTGGCAGCGATGGAGTCAGAGCCTCACGCGCCACTGGGGCACAGTGCACAAGAACCTGCACAGAGACGACTGGCTGAAAGCTCCCTCGACCCAGGTGTCACCCTCATCGGAGAAAGTGCCGTACCACGTCCAGCGACCTACCTTGAACCGAACGAAGCAGAAATACTACTACGGACGCTATTCCCCCAGCGACTCCTCTGAGTCAGAGAGATCTGACCAGGCGTCGCTGGATTCGGACTCCGACACCGACCCTGAGGTGTTGACGTCGCCACAGCCGATCACCAACTATGTCACTCTCCCGGCGAAGTCGGCTACAGAAGAGGAACATCGTCTGCGGCTTGCCCGCAAGGTGACTCGGCTCTGGATGCGCAAGGCCGGGCTGCAGCCGTCTCCGATCAACGATTCAGAAGAGCTGGGAGGGTTCACCCCGAACTGGACGCCGGGGATTTCTCCGCGATTAGAGGGGCGGATCATTATTGAAGGGGTTTGACTTTTCGACGGGTGTGGATTTTGATTGGTTCTCAACATTTATTTGTCTGGAGTATAGCAAGCATTCGGGCGCATTTCGGATTTTATATGAGTCATGATATACAGCGTTGGCATTTTGTTTTTCGGGTGTGTGTCATATATTAATTAGACTCATGAATATTAGTCTATCATTCAATCATTTCTCTTTATACACATAATTTAGGGTGAGAGTCTGATTATCATGCAATTCTGCGGCCGGCATCGAGTCATGGAACTACGGTGGCGAATGTTGTGCGGGTTTTCGGGTCCAGTTCCGGCGATCTAGATCTTGTCATGCACAACCATATGATTAGGTTCGTCCCTCCTGACGATCCCCTCTATGTGAGCAACTAATGGCTAGGAAGATGGAATATCGCTCAGTCCAAAGGTGAATGAGGCACATTGTACATAGTGAAGACAACTATTATGACTTGTCGCAAGGATGGACAGACCCTTCCATGGAATCCATTCAATATTGTATTTCTGTGCATTGAATATACCTCAACAGCTTTTCACAAAAGAAGAATACTCCCATTCTGTGAATAGTCAGTACAATAGAAATATTCACGTCGACGGCTTGATAGGTATTAACTGCTATCTGGCCAGTCAGCTTGGTCTATCATAAAGTCTCCCTCCTTCTCAGTCTCTTTTCCACTTCCATCTTCTCAACTGTCTTCCTTTCTGTCTTCAACGGCTTCTGACTTCATGTTCTACTTGTTTCTACATCCTGGCTCTACATCAAGTCTTCTGTATCCAGTACTTCATTCTTTAAGATTCCATACCTACATCAAAAGATTATTCGGATTATCTGAACCATTTGATTTTGTCCTACACAACCCTGTATCAATTCGATGACGGTCAACTATCCGGCTTGTCTGCCATTCCCACGATCTAGGCATGGTTCCTATATTCAAGGCTCACTCTCAGACATTGCGCTGAAAGCCAGGCTGAATGCAAAAAGCTCGTATCCTCTCGATTGTTCCCTTCCATCTTGAAGAGACCTTTGACCTTTGGGTCTGTTTTGTCATGTCCCTTTCTCCAGTCCATCTCCCTCCCGAATCTACCTTGGGTTATCCTGCATAACCTACTTCATGTCAAAAGACAAGCGAGGCTTTCCACCTTCGACCCAGACTTGCCCTGTCCGAAAAGACGAGACCTTCGTTCTGCGGAGCCATTCTACCCCCTTCCACTGTGGAACTTGCACCCCGTCGGGTTCTGGTTGAGCCACGAGCGCTCAAGCTGACGGTCTGCGATAAGCTCAACCAGGAATAGCTGCGTTTTGGCTGTTGAGCGGAATGCCAGAATCAGGTGCGTGCCCTATTCCCGGAAGTTCGATTGGGTGCTAATGCAGAGGTAGATATAGTCGACTTTTACCATGCCCATTATAAGTATGTATATCGAGTGGGATTGACGGAGAATCGACAGGATGCTAGGGAGACCAAAACTGAATGTGTAGGTGCTCGGATGCTGGGTACTGCCGTACGCCCCACAAGGGGCGAAGATGCATGGATAGCAAGACCCCCGGCCCCCCTCCCCAGAATTTAGAAAGGGATAAAGAGGCAGCAGGCAAAAGGGTTTATCTCAAGAAGAAGATTGAAAAAAGAGCAGGTAAGGGAAAAAAAAGAAGAAGAAAAAGGTCGAAAATAATAAGAGCGATAAGAGCAAGGAAGAGAAGAACGTAAAGAAGGAAAAGGTTAAGATCAAAGTGAGTCTTCCTACACCGGTATTGGGGCATGGGCTGATCTCTAGACAGCTGCACAGGGACCTCCAAGCAGAGAAGCAGAGATCGGGTACCAACTGGGTGTCTCTGGAGCCGTACGTGTTTAGCTGCTGCTCGAGATTCCTCCTTCGAGGAGAAATGCTGTTAATGCAGGGCATGGTGTGCATGAAGCGTCGGCCTATCCGAGGAAGCCAGCCCATCAGAAGCAGCCTCATCTTGTAAACGTTCCGGCACTACAAAAAGCCTAGTAAGGTTATCCTTCCCTTCGACCTTGGCACAAAGCGCTTCCCCGCCTACTGTGAAGCCTACTTTGAAAATATCGAAATATGGCTAACGAACGATAGTGCCTACAGAGAGATTCAGAATCCTGTATCGTGACTAATGTCGGCGAACCCATCGAAGTTGGCCATATTTATCCTTCTTGCCGGCGACTGGGACGATGTATGGAAGCACGTTGATGTGATTGACGCCCAAGACAGCCGCAAAGTTAAGAGGGGCGGTCCCTCAGCTTCTTGGGTATATACGCAAGGCGACATCACTTCAGGGAAAGATCCCGATCCCGGGCCAGCTTCAATCGCTGCCAGAATCACGAGCCAGATGCTGGTAAACCTGCTCGACCGCTCTTTGGTCTTCTGTCGGACGGAGATCACTTCCACTATTATGGTCGGGAAAAGCAATCATCTTCTTCTGGTACGTTTGAGTCCCAATACGCATATGAGAGAATGACTAACCCGGGTAATAGGTATCTGAGTTCCAAATACATGTTCGCACTAGCGTATGGCATTCTTGATTGAACTATACGTCATTCAACACGATTACACCTAAACAAACCATCAGATTAAGGTACAATGCCTCAATATTGGGCATTGTCGGATCTGCTGTCCTGGTTCTTGATACGCAGCTTATGCAATGCCCAAATAGGGGCAACAAAGCGTAATCATTACTTACCACTAACTGCTGTGTTGGGATGGTGCTGTGTCTAGGAATACTTTAGAACAGTCCGTCAGGGTATTACAGTGCACTTGGACCCTTGAGGGAGGATTTGCCTTTGATGGCATCGCTTGTCCGTATGCAAGCCTCTTATGGATATGCTCTGATGGAGTGTGCAACGCAGCAATGGCTGGACAACATCGATGGGGCTTCGATTCATCTTACCTTGCAATATGGCTGTCGCATGGGAATTTGTCCGTGCACGGTACCTTCTGGGTAATCTCTCGGCTTTGCGGATGACTTTGAGATTGACGATCGGTGCGTAAGCTTTCGCGTGCCGAGTGATTTGAACGCTATTCGAAGGTATCGCCATCGACGCATCTTCTCCGTCGGTTGGAGTATCTACTTCCTGATACCCACGAACGGCTTTGTGACTCTAGCAAACGTCCTCCTCAAGACATCCTTGAAGCAGACATTACTGCAGAGATAGCCACGAGGTCCTTCGGAGACTGGGATTGCTCTGGGATATTTACGATATGAGGTATCTATGCCCACTGCATTAAATGGTTACGGCGCTAACTTGACGCTCGCGTGACAGAATATCATATAACATCTTTCGATGTGACGTATCATGACGAAGTCTGGTCTCCACAAAGCTGGATTGGCCGGAATTATACGGAGGTGTCCAATTGGAGATATGAAAGTGAGAGGCGTTCGACCGTGGTGGATACCGTTCGGTCTTGTAAGTTGGGCTAATCGTGTGCTGACAAAGCCGCCTGGGAAGCTAGTTCTGTCTCATCTCGACAGAGCAGACCCCTTCCGAGAAATTTGTTCTTATTTTCTGATATGATCTGTCGGGGTTCGAGCCAGAGCCCATACAAGGAACCTGAGGAGGTCGAACTTTGCTACCCCCTGGGTTATAACTTGCCAGCAAAGTGGGCAGCTATGTTTGTTCCTGCTATACCCTCAGCTACCTATGGTTGGCTCCAACATGTCACAGCAAAAGACTACACGCTGCCTCTCAAAAGCTGTTTGAATGTCCGATCATGCTGCGGCAACTTAAAGAAATCTTTTGGGTTCTCGATTGAATAGAGACCCCAATGGTTCGTACTGCACCGCACGCAAGACCGTTCGAAATCAGTCAGTCAGAAGAGCGTTGTACCCGAAAGCATGCCATCGTCCTGGCCAGGCACAAATCTCAAAGCCTCGAGCTGTGCATATCCTTGACTATATGCATGAATCGCTTCGCTCCAAAATGTGCCACTTCAATCAAGATTCAGACATGGGTATGGAGCCATGCAGAGAACCCATCAAGGGCCGGAGTATCATCCTCAGGCCACTGGACGTGGATTGGAGATCATTTAGATGAGATCTAGCTGTCCTAAGCACAAGGGTTGGAAGGCATCACCTTGGGCAATGACCCATTTCTGCACTACGCATTTGCTGCCAAGCTGAGACGAGTGGGCATGTACTCATGACCACCCGAAGTGGCAGGATTCTGTCGCATAAATTGCGACGTTACAATAAGTGCGGATGACTCTCATCGAGCACTACAGTTTAGATCAACGAGATATGAACTCTGGTTGCAATACTGGGCATGAGACCCTAGGCTTGAGAGATTCTCTTCTCTCTCTTCTATGGCTATGCACGATTTCTCATTGTAACGGTCGTCATGGTACCTGGGCCTACGGATTCTCTGGCTCTCGGATGTTCTAGCACCTCAAGGGACGAGCATTTGCTGTCTATGACGTTCCTGGCATCCTGATCGGGTTGCACCTTATTTTACCATTGTGGTTCTGACTTGGCCTCCTATCACAGTACGAACCCCGAGAAGTCAGCAGTTTGGGTGCGGCTTTATGCTATGCCCGACCACTGCAGGTTATTATGTCTGGGCCATCATACAAGCAACCTGAAGTTTCTTTCTGGATCTTGAGCACCGAACCATTTTTAATACAGATCGGGTCCAGGTGTGACCGCCAACATCACAAGAAAACGGCTCGCTACAACCTTGAAGGCGTCTGGTACCAAGCCGTCTAACTTGTGGACAGCCCAGAAAAGATCAAGCGCTACGCACTTATTGAACAGCTGGACCTTGTTCGCGAGCTAATCAAGGCGACCGACCCTTGATGAGCTGGATCCTGGATGCTGAGCTGTTGTGTATTGCCAGCAAAGATGCATTGCGTTCTCGCGCAAACATCTAGGGTCATATGTATGTAGCCCAGCATCAGTTAGAAACAATACAACAACAATCATCCTCGTCTATATCTGAACCACCATTACAATGGCAGCGTGTCCTACACGGACCAGGAGCCTGCTCCCTGAAACCGACTGACCATTCTGACGACTTTCAAAATACCGAGCTCGTCGATATACACCATATCGTCGCCCTTGATCTGCCTTGCGTTGTGCTGCTCTTGCCGTGCAGGAGACGACTTCACTGTGGCTACTTCCTTTTACTGCTAGTTCCATTGAATTCCACGAACCCAAGGTTCCTTCCTCCG